GGAGATTCAGGGCTTCCTGTTGGAAGGGAGAGCTAAGCTTGAAAGCTGAAAAGTGAACAGGAGTTAATTAAAAGAGTAGGGCCGGGGAAGGAAGAATATTCTAGGCAGACAGCAAGCGAGAAACACGGCACCCCTTCAAGGCACAAAAAGGGCAGAGTGGCTGCAGCGTAGAGAGCTTGGAGAGGCAGGTGGGGGCCAGAGCACGGGGGCCGTGAGGCTGTGGCGAAAGGGGTGTGGGTCTTGCACTGAGGGTCGGGGGCAGCCAGGGAAGTAGGCTGAGAAGAGAGACAATTAACCTTTGTGTTGCATTCCCAAACTCACCCTGCTTCTTTATCTTCCCACAGTCCTTGGGAGGTCGGCTGGGTGGGGACTGTGTTGTGTTTTTCTCAGATGGAGAAATGGAGACCCAGAGAGATCATGATTTGCCTGAGGTCACACAGCTAGGAGGTAAGTAACGGGGGCAGGACTGCAACGCAACTGAGTCTCACTCCAGAGCCCCTAAAGCTGCGGAGGTATAGATAGATTCACTCACTCACTCACTCATTCATTTGCACATTCAATATGCTCATTCACTCCTTCAATATTCAGTAGTCATTCATTCATGCCTACTGTCTGCCAGGCACTCTTCCTGGAGCAGGATTTCAGTAATAAATTGGTCTAACGAAACAGATGAGACAAGGCTAAAGAGTTTGGGCTTGATTCCGTCAGCAACAGGGCACACAGCCGGTTTCTGGGAAGGAGGGGTGACTGCCCTTCACTAGGAACTGCCCTCACCCACCCCACCCCACACGCCTCCCTGTAAGAAGAGCCACTGTTCTCCTTCCAGGGAGCATTCTGCCACAGGCAGCCGTTTCGCAGAAGCAAACCGGTGTTGAGTAAGCCTCTATCTTTTGCCATCATTTGTTCTCTCAGACCCACAATATCTAGAACTCTGGGGGAACGAGGAAGCGATTTCCTAGTGACAGTAAGAACTGTGGCTTTCCACCCACTGTGGCTGCAATCCCCGCACACTGTGAGCTCAGGGGTGCAGGGCTGGGTCTCTCCTGTTCTCTCAGTGGGTCCCCACTGAGCCCAGCACAGTGCTGGGCATAGGAATGCTCAATTTATTTGAAGAGAAAGGGAGAGATGAGGAAACTTCTCTGCAGCATCTGAAGGCACTCAGTGACGTCAGTGAGGAGGAGATATATTTGGATCCTCTTCTACTGGTTCAGGGTCTCAAAGGGCCTTGGCTCATTCTTGGGCACTGCTGGGTCAACTGCCCTGGGGAGGGGACCCAGAAGGGAGAAGGGAGTCACCATTCATTGAGTGTTAGTGTGTGTTAGGCTTTCCATATGTTATCTCTTTCAATCCTCATGACAACTCAGAGAAGTAGATGGCCTACCTCCATTTAGGAGGAAAGGAGGCTCAGAAGGGGGAAGGCACTTGCTCTGGGTCTCTAGCTAGTAAGCGGCAGGCTTGGGATTGATTGATTGATTGATTGATTGATTTTGCCTGATTGATTTTTGCCTGCCCCTGTGTCTCAGTTGCGGCACACGGGATCTTCGTTGAGGCACGCGGGCTCTTCACCATGGCACGCGGGCTTCTCTCTAGTTGTGGCGCATGAGCTCCAGAGCGTGCGGGCTCTCTAGTTGCTGGGCATGGGCTTAGTTGCCCCACTGCATGTGGGATCCTAGTTCCCCAACCAGGGATGGAACCTGCGTCCCCTGCATTGGAAGGTGGATTCTTAACCACTGGCCACCAGGGAAGTCCGGCTTGGGATTTAGAACCAGGCCTCTTTCCAAAGATACTGCTTCTGAATAGAACATGCACCAACGGAGGGGGGAGGGTGTGGCGAGAAGGGCTGTCTAAGACTTGATTCCCGGGCAGGCAGAGACAGAGAGCCCCACCCCCATAACTAACCAAAGAGAAAAACTCCCAGTTGCAGGTATTGGGAGTGGGGTGAGGGGGGTCAGCATCCAGAGACTTAGCCCCTGAAGGGGTAAAGGGAGGTTTCCAAGTCCCTGGGTCAGTGGACCTCCAAGCTCAGTTTCTTTGGCCTCTATCTCTCATACCTCCCCTGCTCCAGCAGCACATCCCTAGTGGAGGCGTCCAGATGGCAGGGAGGTCCAGGGAACAGCTGAAGATGCTGAGTAGGCCTCCCTCTCCCTGCCTCCCCATGGCCCCACGGATCATCCGGTGCTGCCAGCCCATCTCATTGGCTCTCTCCTGGTTACTCGTCTCTCCTCTATCTTTCCAGCCTGTGGTTGCCGTGGAAACATAGTACAGTGACATCACTATAGGGTGAGGGCTGGGGCGATACTGCTCTTGGCAGGGACTGGTCTTGCTGCTTGCTAGATGTTAAATCCACATCTGGATCTACCAAGGGCAAGAAAGGGGGGCAGGAAAAGGGACAGGGCTCACATTCCTTCCTCTTGCCCCTCTTTCCCCAAATGTAGTGAGCATAAAAGGGCAGGGAGGGTGCAGGTAATCAGAGGGATGAGGAAAAGGCTGCAAATACCTAGAAGGGATAAGGATAAAAGTCACATGGAAAGGAGATAGGGTGAGGCTAGGCGTCAACTTTGATGAGCCAGGTCTGAGCGCGGTGGGGAGATGGGGTTAGGGCAGCGAGAATAGTGGGTCTGGGGGTTGTCTAGAGTTCCTCAGAGCACCATGCTGCTCAACTTAGGCAGGGCCCAAGAGAGGAAGCCAAAGGACTTTCTGGCAGCGTCCCCCTCAGCCCGCCCTGAAGATCTCTATACCACTTCCTCACAGCCACAGCAGTTTCTAATCCTGTCTTAGAAATAAGAAAGCTGATTAGAGAAGCAAAGCAATCTGCCTTGGGTGGCCCAGCAGGTGAGGGGCAGAGCTGATACCAGGTCTTAGGAGCCCTGCACTATCCGTGGAGATAATAACAGCAGCAGCAAGCAAATATTTATTCAATCTACCTTGCCCAGCATTAAAAAAAATTTTTTTAAATTTATTTATTGTATTTATTTTTGGCTGCATTGGGTCTTCATTGCTGCGCGCGGGCTTTCTCTAGTTGCGGCGAGCAGGGGCTACTCTCTTTGTCGCGGTGTGAGGCTTCTCATTGCGGTGGCTTCTCTTGTTGCGGAGCACAGGCTCTAGGTGCAGGGGCTTCAATAGTTGTAGCATGCGGACTCAGTAGTTGTGGCTTGCAGGCTCTAGAGCGCAGGCTCAGCAGTTGTGGCGCACAGGCTTAGCTGCCCCGCGGCACGTGGGATCTTCCTGGACCAGGGCTTGAACATTGTGTCCCCTGCATTGGCAGGCGGATTCTTAACCACTGTACAGCATTTTAAATGCATTATCTCATTTGATCTCCCAACACCTCTATATGGTAAATATTGTCATTTCCTCCATTTTCGAGATGAAACTGAGACTCAGAGTGGTTTAAGTGAGCTGCCCACAGCCACGGCTAGTACCCACTGGAATCAGAACTGGAACCCACATCTATCTGCCAGCAGCTGTTAGCCCAGCCCCAGCTCTCCAGCACTGCTTTATAAAGACCATGTAGGGAGAGAGCTCTGGTCCCTGGCTCTCCAGCCACTCAGTGTTTGAAAGAGGAGGAGGCCCTGTGTCTAAAGGTTGTGCCCTTGAGTTAGAAACTATCCCATCCCCCTCCTCCCCCTGTACCTGCTCCGGCAGTGAGGTCATTAGGGCTCTGTGCCCAGCCCTGAGGCCTGTCCTGCAGCTTTGGCAGAAATAAGCCCCCTTGGTCTTCTGGCAAGTGGACCTGTCCAAAAGAACCAAGACCTTGGGAGAGAAAGGGCTCTTCCTCCCTGGCCTTCTTCCCAGAAAGTTAGGGGAAGGGAGCAGATGTTCTCTACTTCCACATGGAGAAACAGAGGTACAGGGAGGCAGCCCACCACTCTGTATTGATACATGTGTGGCAGAGCTGGCGGGCCCCTTCTGGGCCCCTCTGTGAGGACCTCTGCGGGCCCGAGTTCAGCTGGGCACCACTCCATTATGTTTTGTGTCTTCCTTCATGAGCGTGTGTCTTGTTCATGGCTGTCTTTCCAGAGCCTAGCCCAGGGCCTGGCACAAAGTAAGTGCTTTAATAACTGCTGGATTAAGAAATGAATGGGTTCCTCTAAGCTTCAACTATGCTCATCTGTAAAAGGATAATAATAACACCTGCTTCAGGGACTTTGTTTTAAAAGTTCAATAAGACAATGCACTGAAAGCCCTCAGCATGCAATAAACAGCAATACAAGGTTGATCTGATTGTTATTAAAAGTGCTTTGGAAACTGTAGTGTCAAACAAGGTAGGTGACTGCCGGTCTCTGAAAGTGCCGGTTGCCTGCCAGTGTGCAGAGGTCAGAGAAGGGCAGCAGGTGGGGGCCGAAGCAGTCAGGCAGAACGGGGAGCTGTCCTTGAGCCTTGAAGAGCTGGCTGGAAGGACAGAATTTCTGAAGGCGGGTGAGGAGGGAACGGCCGACCGGAGCAAACGCTCGGAGCTGTGCGTAGAGGTCAGAAAAGCCTGGCGCACTGGCACGGTGGAGGGGTAGTTGGACCGCAGGAGGGAAAGGCTAGCGCGGGAGACATTCCGTAGGCAGGGGCGAGCACGTGAGGAGCAGGCGCGGCGCGGCGCGACGGGAAGGGTCACGCTTTTGCCCGGAGCAGACGGAGGGCACTCGCTGCCCGCGGTGACTCTCCCCTCCACCGGCAGTGGGGAGTGGCGGCAGAGCGCAGGGTCTGGGGCCGGCTAGACCAGGCTCGCCATCTGGACTCCAACTCACTCCTTATTTCCTGCGACCTTGTCACTCCCCCTCTGAGCCCTGGACACGTCACCTGTAAAATGAAGACCGAGATGCTTGCGCCGCGAAGAGTCGGCCAGAGCTTTCCCGGCGTGGGCATCAGCCCAAAAGTTTCCTTTCTCCTCTAGACTCTCATCTCTGTTCTGACCTCAAACTCGGGGAGGGACCAGGGGAGGGAAGATGTCCCTGGCGTGCGCCCCAGCTCACGGGCACCGTGCCCCGAACTGTTTTCTTTTTAGATTCTGAAGAGCGCCTTGAGGCCAGGGAAGGGAGTAGGTCCTACCAGCCCGGGGCAGGGACTCGGACCCCCGGGACCCGCGCTGACGTAGGCGAGCCGGGCGCCACCGGGTGCCCCTTCCCCCTGCCCCCGGCGGGTTGGAGGATGGGCGGCCAGCCCCAGGCTAGCTAGTGCCTGCCTGGGGCTTCCTATTTCGGGAGCGGGGTGTGGGCCACGCCCCGTCACGTGATGCAAGGGCCTTTTAAAGCTGCAGCGCGGGCTGGGAGCCGCAGGTCGCGGAATCCTTGCACGCGTGCTCTATCGTCTCTTTCTCGGCCTAGCCCAGCCTCACCATGGTGGACGCCTTCGTGGGCACCTGGAAGTTAGTGGACAGCAAGAATTTCGATGACTACATGAAGTCAATCGGTGAGGGCGGCTCGGGATGCTGGGCTGGGGATGGGCTGGCCGCGTGCCGGGTCGGAGCAGCGCTCCAGCTGTGGCTACCTACCCTGCACGCCTGCTGCATCCCTCCTGGTAAAAGTTGGGGAACCCGGGGATGCGGAGAAGGTGGCAGCCTGCGCTAGGGCATGCGAGGCCTGTTGGGAGGGGTTTCTTCCAGTTCCGCGCTCGCCACACGGCACGCGGCACGCGGGATCTTGGTTCCCCGACCAGGGATGGAACCCCTGCCGCCTTCAGTGGAAGCGCAGAGTCCTAACCGCTGGACCGCCAGGGAATTCCGGGGAGGGGGCTTTCATGTTCTGAACTTGGCAAGAGGGATTCCCAGGCAAGGAGGCTCAAGGAGGCAGCTGTGTCGGTCGATGTGGGGGCAGGGAGGCGCTTTCGGGGAAGAAAGGCTTCTGATCTGGAGGTAGGGGGCGGGTTCGGATAAAACGGGTGGGGAGGGAGGAAAAGAAGAGGAGCATGGGTGGTCTAAGAACTGGAGCCTGAACAGTGAAAGGGGGCAGATTGATGGGAAGTGTCCTATGGCTTAAAGTAGGGTATCCCCAGGAGGAAGAAGATGGAAGGGGGAACAGCCCTGAACAGGATATGAGGAGCTGAGACAGGAGCCTGCACAGTTAGCAACAACCAACCCCTCACCCTCTACGTTGGGTTAGTTAGGGTAAAGGATTGTCGCTGCAGGGTGCCCTCTTTCTCACTAACCAGCCTAGTGGTAGGGTAGGGCAAGAGGCCCCATCACCAGCTGCAACCCAAGGATAACTGCTCACTGGGGAGGTGTCTGGTGGAGGGGTACAGCAAAGGGGCCTGGAGCAAAGCCAAGACCTGGTAAAGCCAGGGAGGGTCTTTGGTCTAGGAGGCTGTGGTGCTGGGATGGGGGAGAATGAAGATTCAAAGAATCTTGCAGAGGAGGACTTTGGAGGTCTCTGTGCCTTGGTTCAACAGTTGAAGAAGCCAAGACCCAGAGACAGTAGAAACTTGTCAAATCAATTCCACAGCAGAGCTGTTATGAAAGCCTAAATTTCTAGATCGGCAACCCAGAGAAGTTCCCATTATGGACCCCAGGGGTGGGAGTGGTAAGAACTGCTTAACTAAGCGTTGACCTCAGCCCTTCCCCTTCTAATATGGGCTAGGCAAGAGGCTGACATCCTTTCTCTGGAATCCCCAGCTATGAGTTTATCCTGGCCCCCCAGGCTAGGATAGGGAAAACTGGAATGTTATTCATGACTGAGCTAGGTTCCATGCCTTCGTTCCAGGGAAGGGGGGCTGGATAACCCAAAGAAGGGGTGGGGGGTCCACTCCAGGCACCTCCCACCTGTTCCTGACCCCTGAAATAAGGACCGCAACTGTTGGCTTTTAAGGCCAAAGTGCTCAACTGCCCCTACTCTATGCTGAGCATTATGCCCAATGATTCCAGGAAGGTAGTAATTCTTGGAGAAGTAGGGGACCCTGGCAGCTGTTGGGGAAGGTGGAATGCCCATAGCTAGTTCCTCTCCCAAGTGTCTCCCAGCAGACATTAGGACTGAAGACCTGGGTCCCTGAAGTGAGTCATACCATCCGTACCACCCTTGCTCCCTTATTTTGCCCCAACCTGGGTTAGGGGGCTGAGAATCCAGCTAGCCTGCTGTTGTACAGATGGAAAAAATGAGATACCCATGGGGGAGAAAAGACCTTCCTTAGATGGAAAAAATGAGGTACCCATGGGGGAGAAAAGACCTTCCTTAGACGGAAAAAATGAGATACCCATGGGGGAGAAAAGACCTTCCTTAGCTCTCGGTAAATAGCTTCAGCTTCGTTTCTAAGTAGAACCCATCTCTTCGCAAGACTCCAAATTCTGTAACTTTCTCTTAGCTGAGTCTCTCACCCACTCCACAATGCCTTCCTTCCTCAAACGCTCCACACCTCTGGGTAGGTCCTAAGTAAACAGAGCTCCTTGCGCAGTGACAAGGCCCTGCTCTGTGCTGGGGCGTGGGACTGACCTGACTCACTCTGATAACAGGGGGCAAGGCCAAGTCCCTCAGTAGCCAGGCAGGGTGGGCCAGCAGCAGCACAGCTGCCTGTGCCCCTCTTGTTTTAAACCAAGAATTCTCAGAGGACAAAGAGGCCCAGCCTAGTTAGTACCAGTGGTCTCAGGCACACTTGGTGGCCATAGGCCACAGATGAAGTACATGCCGGGAAGCAGGATGGCCCAGGAGGAAAAGTGAACAGTTTTAGAGCCTAAATTCAAATCTAGGTCAACCACTTAACCCTTTGACTTTGGGCAAAAGTCACTTCACTCTCCAAGCCTTATTTGTAAATTGGGGATAATAAAATCCACCATTCAGGGCTGTAATAAACATTAAGTAAAACAACCCATGTAGCCAGGCACATCTGGAGACTTTCCACCCACCACCTCACCACAGCCTCTGCCCTTGGAGGACAGCACAGCAGAGGCTGCTCGGAGCAGAGGGGGAGGTTGGAGGCAAAAGGACAGATCTCAGGAAAGCCACAACCTGCAGGGCTCTTTGTTCCACACTCTCTTGCAGCGCTCAGGGAAGCCATGCTTGGGCCAGGAGGGGAGTTCCCACAGAGCCTTAGACCAGGAGACCTGGATTGGAGTCCTGACTGCCACCACTTTAGGCCTCTCCTAAATCTGCACACTGAGACAAACACTCCCTTTTGCCTCCTCCTAGATCATGGTTAAGAGGCTTGGAAAATGTCTTTGTTACCATACATGGGGCACAAGAGCACCAGTGCATCTCAGGGTAAAAACTTTCAAAGGTGGAAAATTCTTGTCCATAGGCTCTGGAAGGCAAAGTCCACATATACTTCTTTCTCCCTCAGCCTGTGCCTTGAAAGCTGCTCAGGTGCCCTGGAAGGGAGCCTTGCGCTCCAGCCTTTATAGATGAGCAGTACAGTGAGCTCTGCAGTTGAACATTCTGGATTTGAATTCCAGATTTGTGACCCTGGGCTTCAACTCATTCTCAGTTTTTGCATCTGTAAAATAGAGATAATAGCATCAGTCCTTCGGGGAGACTGGAAGGACTGAATGAGATTACACGTGTAGTTTTTACCACACAGAAAGCACTTAATAGTAGCTTATTCTAATCTCAGCTCTGCCACTGACTTGCTCTGAGACATGCCTGTCCATTAAGTTTCTCATCTGTCTAATGGGATCAGTAATGTCTCTTCACCACCCAGAGCTAACGGGAAGACTGAATTAATAGCCATGCAAAGTCTTTAAAAGTTCTCACCCTTCTTTTCCCCCTTCCCCACATCCAGGCCTAAGAGTTGGTCACTGAGCTCCTTGTACCCTGCCTCTCGCTCTAGCTCATATTCATACCCTTCCCTCTGCCCTCAGGTGTGGGTTTTGCTACCAGGCAGGTGGCCAACGTGACCAAGCCTACCACAGTCATCGAAGTGAACGGGGACACAATCACCATAAAAACACAAAGCACCTTTAAGAACACGGAGGTCAGCTTCAAGCTGGGAGTGGAGTTCGATGAGACAACAGCAGATGACAGGAAGGTCAAGGTGAGTCAAGGAAGGGTCCATGGGGAATGGAAGGCCCTGAAGGGGATTACGGTGGCGCCCTATTATTGCACGTTGAGGGGTAGGCTATCATGGGGGATTGAAGTGGCAAATGAGGTCCATAACGCCTGTGCAGTGCTGGGATGTCCCAAGTGCTAAATGCATGTTAGTCCTATCTTGTTCTCCCTCCCATCTTGGGAAGCATCTACCTGTTGCCTCTGGGAGTGGGCAGCACAGAGCCTGGATAGTCTGACCTCACTGTCTACGCCAGCTCCAGCTGGGTGACCTTGTGTATGGCATGCAACAGCTCTGGCTTTCTTTCCCCTTCCATAGATGGGGGCTTATGTGGACATGGCTGTGACCTCGGGTGCTTTAGGGAACAATGCCCAGAAGTCAAGGTCCTCCACCGAAAGGTCATCCTGGCCTTCAGGAGCCAAGGAGACAGCTGGGGACAAGAGGTTGAGACCTACTCAGATGCTTCCTCTTCTCCAGCCTCCACTTCCAGGGCTTGGCCAGTGACCCTGAGAAACCATTTCCAATGCTGCCAGCCTACAGGCAGGAAAAACTATATTCTGGATAGAGCATTGTCTTTGGTGTCTTCTCACCAAGCCTCAGCCCCTCTCCTTCTGGGGAGGGAGAGTACATCTGCCCCCAGTCTTAGGACTCGTCACCCGGTGGTGGCTGTCTTGGCAGCTTGCCTCAGGCCTTCCAGCCACTGAGCCAGGCATGGAAGAGAGAACTAAGGGGTTTTGCTCTCAACAGGGTGTACCTATAGCAGTACCTTTCCACCAGACCTTTCCATTCAGCTCCTCAGCTGTTTCTTCTTCCTCACAGCTGCTCCCAAGGAGAGGAGAGGGTCTAATCTCCTCCCTGTGGAGGAAGCTGGAGCCCAGCCCAGGATCATACAGGAAGCTGGCAGCAGAGATGGGATGGTACCCAAAGATGGCAGCCTACCTTGGAGAGAGGTGCCTGCCCTACCACATGCCTTTGCCTCCTTGAACTAGCCTACCTTCTTGAAGGGCAAGAACCCCAGTTAAACACAACAGTAGTTCTCTGGGATGCCTAGGCTAAACCTAACCTGCTCTGAATGGACAAAAAGCTAGAGGAATGAGAATGAGGAGGAAGGTGGTGGTAAGGGTGCACACCCACCGACCCACTGGCCCCAAAGCACATACACACAGCCTTTGCAGACCTTCTACTGAACCCTGGTCAGTCAGGGTACCCTAGCCTGGCTTAGAGCCCCCAAATTTCTAGAGAAGAGAGACCTGGGAGAGTTGCCAAATGAGAGCCAGCTGATGCAGGCTGGCAGCACCCATAAGATTAAGTGGACATTTGACCAGGGCTGTGGAACACTCCAAGGGCCCGCAGTCCCAGGACCTGGCAGTTGCTGCCCACTCGTCACCTGAAGGGGGTCACTTGATATGGACCGAGAGGAGTAGGAATACACGGCAGGGTCCAATTATCCAATACCTCCCGCCCCCAAGGGTCTTTTAGACATTACGTGTGATCACCACTTGGCCAGAGAGTCTCAGGATTACTCCTCCTCACCAGTCTTTCACAGGCATTGGGCTGGTCCTCCTACTCTGTGTCTTAGTGAGACTGGGCTGTGGGCATCACCTAGAGTACGGGATAAGTGCCCATCCTGAAGGCTGGTGGCGCTTCTCAGAGCCAGGCTGTTCCTCTCCACTGTGCCATCTGCCTCTCCCTACTCGCCCAACAGCTGAAGGCCCCTCCCCCGGCCAAGCAGCAGTGGTGAACTAGACATCCTATGGGGCTAGGTTGGAGGTGGGCTGCCTGATCTCTGATCCTAGCATTGTCAATAGGGATAGAGGCTGGGTCCTTTGTGGCCCCAGTGACCAGACCCCTTCCTGCCCCTCAATCCTAGCTCAGATCTCAGCTCAGGCCTCTACCCTCTTTCCACAGTCCATTGTGACGCTGGATGGAGGCAAACTCGTCCACGTGCAGAAGTGGAACGGACAAGAGACAACACTTGTGCGGGAAGTAGTTGCTGGGAAACTCATCCTGGTAAGATGGATAACTCTGGAGCCTCACCCAATTCGTTTCTACTGCCCCTTCAGCCAAGCCTATTGTGAAAAGCCAAGGTCATCAGCAGGACCAATGGAAGCTGGAACAATGGAGGGTGGAGGCAGGCCTGGGTGGTATTAGGTAGGAATTTTCTATGTAGTGGCTTTGGACTTGGTTTAAATCTCAGCTTATAGGGTGCATGACTTTGGACAAGTCACCTTCTCCAAGTCCAACTGTAAAGTGGGTGTTAGTAACACTAACCTTGTAGGGCTGCTGGGAAGTCTGAAGGAGACAGTGGATGCAGAGCACAGAGCATCACTGGTGTGGGACCACTACAGTGGGCGCACTCCATGGCCTTAGTTTCATTCTCTGCATTGCCGCATTGCCTTGCCCCAGGGAGAGGTAGAAAGCTTGGCCAAATCTGATTCCAGGCCCATAGGAGAGGCTCCCATCTCCCAAGCCTTTGGGCAGGGACAGGCTGGTGATCGGTGGGCCCCAACTGACAGCACAGTCATTTCTACTTCATTCCAGGCTCACCTCCTCTCAGAGCTTTCCATGCCTGGCCTACTACAAGTACCTAAGGCCTGGGTTGGAAATGACAAACAAGCTGGCAGATCTGTCTGTTTAGGGACAAACTTGGGGACTTCACTTGAAGAATGTAGCTTGACTGAACACCCCCAGGGGTGGAGACAGCAGCCACCCGTGATCTCTGCCTCCTTATTCTGTAGGGCCTCAGGTTTTCGCCTCAGCATCTTCACTGCAGACCTTCTTGGGTCAGTGTAACCTGGTCACTGCATTCTTGCACTTACACGGGGCAGGGGGCCCTGCAGAGTTAATAATGAGTTACCTAGCTCTGGTGGGAATGTGATATACAGCACCAAATACTCACTGGGCAGTTAAGCTATGGTGAGACCATGGGCCTGGCTCTGTGATGCCAGGCAGGATGCTGGGGGTTCAGGCCTCTGGCCCTGGCACTACCCTAAGTTAGGGAAAGAATGGAGAGTTGGTGGCCTAGTAAAGTCCTTTCCCAAGAGCCTCTGGACATTTTTATTCACCTGTTTGTCTACTATGTGCCAGGCACCATCTTAGGCACTAAAGATGAAGGGAGAGGAGTGGTACAAGGGAAAGAGAAACACTCTGGGATCTTGACCAAGTTACTTCCTCCCTGAAAGCTCATTTCCCCAAATCTCTACAAGAGGAATTACAATGCCTAACTTAAAGACTTAGGGGAACTTCCTGGTGGTCCAGTGGTTAGGACTTGGTGCTTTCACTGCTGTGGCCCGGGTTCAATCCCTGGTTGGGGAACTAAGATCCCGCAAACCACATGACATTGCCAAAAAAAAAAAAAAGAAGACTTGGTGTAAGCATTAGGAAAAAATACATGTAAAGTACCTGGCACATAGTAGGTAGGCAGTAAATGAAAATTTTTAGCATGAAGGTAGAGGGCTCTCCCCATCAGAGTGGAGAGTATTCCCAGTACCTTCTGTGTCTACACCCCTGCCCTAACCTGACTCTGTCTTTTCTTCCAGACACTCACCCACTGCAATGCAGTTAGCACTCGCACTTACGAGAAAGGGGCATGACCTGCCCACTCCCTCAACAACTCCTCCTCTGCCAGTTGGCTACTCCTGGACTCAGCACCAGATTGACTCATTTTTTTCCTTTGGCATTTTGTATAAATCCACCTTGATTGGGGAAATTCTCCTGGGGTCAGGTGGCACCAGCCTGGATCCAGTTCTGTTCTCATTGTGTATGTTTGTTTTTTTAACTGCACCCAAAGGGTGCTCTGAGGTCAATAAAGCAGCACCTAGGCCACCCAGTTGCCTTTTTGCTTTTGGTGACATGATTCTGGGAGTCTCAGTTTCTATGTGTGTCAGAGAGTAGGCATAAACGACTGCCACTCAGGAAGAAGCACTGGATGAGAGACTGCAATGGACAGTCTCAGAGACAGTGATAGCTGATCACCTTACACGTACAAAAAATAAAACGGCTGTACCTACAACTTCCCTTTACACTGCCCCCTCCCTATGGCCAAATGAGCTAGTCCAACCTGGAATAATCACTCAGTGGTGGGGCTTCTGAACTGTCACCTCAGGTCCATCCTGCACTGAATGCCTTTGGGTCTGGACAGTTGCTCTTCTCTGTGGAATGCTGTGGTCTCTCTCTTTCCAGAACACAGGCTTAGGACACAGGATCCAGGCTTGTGCCAGTGGTAGTGGGAGAAAATGCCCACTGGCGAAGATGACTGCTGAGCATCTGCCTATGTGCTAGGCCATTACTCATGGTTCAAATTCTTACTGGTTCTCTAATCAGCCCTGGGGGAGAGGTCATCTGATCATTACAGAAGTGAGGGCTTATAAGTGATCTAAGAAGGCTGTGACTTGCTAGTGCCTCTGGCGCTGTACCTTAGCTGGGCCACTCTCTAAGGTCTAAGGTAACATGTTAAATGTTTTTCTGTCACCTAACGCAGCCTCAGTGACTTTTAAGTCTGTAAGTTACAGGAAGAGGGATTATACCAATAAGGACTCTCAGTAAGTTTAAAACCAAGCACACTTCCATTTAGGGCCAGGAATTTAAGCAGAGACCTGAAATGGAACCAACTGATTCACATTGTAGTAAATAAAAGTAAAGCAATGATCTTGGCTTGAGCTGTCTGGTTCAGTGATCGGGCGGAACGTCACACACAAGCTCAGTCACTGCAAACAATGGTTTTCTGGCTGTGACCCCTGGCTGTCATTCTAACATAGTAGAATCATGTTAGGGGGAATGGAAAAAGTGAGCACCACTTCTTACCATGTTCTCCCTAGTACTGCCAGTCTCCCTCTGCCCCTGTGTTGGATGCAGCAGAGATCACCCACCAATCAGCCCAAGGAAGGCCAACAGGGTGGGGCCAATCACTGTGTTCTCCAACTACAGCCAGACTCACCTCCACAGCAGTACCTGTGGCTCTAGTCTGGACTCTTGCTCTGGCAGTGGCAGCTGGAAGAGGGTAATAGGACCTTCTGCTGAATGAAGGAAGTTGGGTGAATGAATGGGTCAGCTGCAGGGGTCACTTGCAAAGGGACTGGAGTGATAAGAAAACAACTCATTCAGGCAGATACTTTTGATATCTCCCAAACCTGCCTGTGGCAGGAGGGGAAGCCATCTCCCATGGGAGAGAAGTCAATGGGGTGGAAGGCCATATTCTCACTACTGAGTCTTTCCAGGAGCCAGCGCTTCAAGGCACAAGGCTCCTGGTTCCTTCTCTCCACCACCCCCTCCACTCTTTCCACTCTCACTCCTTGTGCTTCTTCTTGTGCTTCTTCTTCTTTTTCTTCTTCTTTGCTGCCTTGCTGTCTTTTGACGTGTGCCTTGCCCTCTTGCCTGTATCACTCTCAGAGTCTGAGCTGTCAGAGTCAGATGACTTCCTGTCTCTATGTTTCTTTTTCTTCTTTTCCTAAAAAAAAATAAATGAATAAAATAAAAACTCAACATTGTATGTATATATTTGCTTTAAAAAATCATGGCCTGTAATCATTAGGAGATAACTTAATAGATTAAAAAACATTAATTAGGGCTTCCCTGGGGGCGCCAGTGGTTGGGAATCCGCCTGCCAATGCAGGGGACACGGGTTCAAGCCCTGGTCCGGGAAGATCCCACATGCCGCGGAGCAACGAAGCCTGTGCGCCACAACTACTGAAACCCGTGTGCCTACAGCCCACGAGCCGCAGCTGGAGAAAGACTGCACGCAGCAACGGGGACACAATGCAGCCAAAAATAAATAATTAAAAAAAACATTAATTAAAAAAACAAATTATATCTTTAAGTACTAACAAGAAAAAGTGCTCAAAATGAGCGAAAAAGGATCAAGTCATAATGCAGTATGTATTCTAGGTTCTAGGGTATGTAACAATATATGTGTGTATGTTTATACACACACACACACATATACATGCATACCATATGTATTATATATATTTACATATATAAATTATATTTAGTACATTAAATCATAATATAATATGTATATTTAACAGACCTGTATATATTTAAAATACACAGAAAACAATGGAAAGGACACAAACAGTTACAAGTGTTACCTCAGGAATGAACTGCATACAGGGAAGCTGAGGTCTTCTGCTGTCCTTTTTCATTTTTTTTTAAACAAGCATTTATTACTTTCTTTCTCTTTTTTCAGCCGTGCCACGCGGATTGAGGGATCTTAGTTCCCCGACCAGGGACTGAACCCGGGCCGTGGCAGTGAAAGCGTTGAGTCCTAACCACTGGACCACCAGAGAACTCCCTATTACTTTCATTTTTAAAAAGCACAGGATATTAAAGCTGAAAGGAGTCCTTAGAGATCACCTAGTCTGACTAGAGACAGTACTTCACATGCCCAAGAATATGAGAGTAATGGATTCAGGACTCCTGACTCCCAGTCTGGTTTCTATTAGACCCTGCTGCCAGGGAAAATAACCGCCATCAATTAATAAGGCCCCACCTGCTACCCTTGAATATTTACCATCTCTAAGTTTCGCAACCAACCTTACAAGAGTATACTGATAAAGAAAAAAGCTCAGAAAGAACTTTCTCAACACTTCCCACCACACTACGCCACCAAATTAACAGCACAAACGCACACAAAGGCTGAGACCCTGATTCCCAGGCTTCTGTAGGGTACTTGGAGCAGTTTATAAGCACTGAATAAACCTTTTCATTGAATTGCAAATATGTATATTGCCTTGGTAAGGTTTCTAAGGAGAGACTATGGGGGGCGAAAGTGAGAGTAGAAGAGGGCAAGGCTCCTGCTCCTCCCATTAGGCTTCCATCCAGCATCCGGAGACTGTAAGTCTGCCTGATAGACTAGGTCTTGGGAGCTGGCTGTGAGAAATGGTGGACAAAACACAGAACCAGGTGTTAGACCCAGACATGAGTTCTGGCTCTGCCACTTACTATTACTCTTCTGTAACCCTGGGCAAGTCATTTCACCTCACTGAGGCCTAGTCTCCTCAAATGTAAAACAGAGATAAGAACAGCACCTGTGTCACATGGTGGTGAAGAGATAGTATCTGTGGCTGGAGAAGTTGGAAACCACTCGCCCCAGATCACACAGGCAGGGCTGGGATCTGCATGTAGATCATATGACTGGAAATCTCCTGAGTTTTCCTTGATTGCACATGGCCCCTCTTCCTGTATAGTGATGGGAGGCCTCACGGTATATGGTGGTCAGAACAACAGTTTTGGAATAAGATAGACTTAAGTTCAGGGACTTTCCTTGTGGCACAGTGGTTAAGAATCTGCCTGCCAATGCAGGGGACATGGGTTCGATCCCTGGTCCAGGAAGATCCCACATGCTGCGGAGCAGCTAAGCCCATGTGCCGCAACTATTGAGCCTGTGCTCTAGAGCCCACGAGCCACAACTACTGAGCCCATGCGCCACAACTACTGAAGCCCGTGCACCTAGAGCCTGTGCTCTGCAACGAGAAGCCACCCCAGTGAGTAGCCCGTGCACCGCAATGAAGAGTAGCCCCCGCTCGCCGCAACTAGAGAAAGCCCACACACAGCAACAAAGACCCAACACAGCCAAAAATAAATTTTAAAAATTAAAAAAAAAAAAAAGAATTAAGTTCAAATTCCAACTCTGCCACTTACTAACTATGTGATTTAGAACAAAAGACCTAACTTTTTTTTTTTCTTTTTTGGCCCGCGCTGGGTGGCATGTGGGATCTTACTTGTCCAACCAGGGATCAAACCGGCGCCCCCTGCATTGGAAGCACAGAGTCTTAACCGCTGGACCACCAGGGAAGTCCCAAGACTTTACTTTTTTGAACCTCAGTTTTCCTTTCAGTAAATTACAAATAATAAATACCTACTTCAAAGGATGCTATGAGGACTAAACATGGTAAGTACTAACTATAGTGCCTGATACATGGTAGGAACTCAGTGGTAGCTAGAAGTATTGTATTATTCTCTTATTTCAGAGAACTCCCAGAATGTTCTGACAATCTGGCCAAGTATCTACAGCAGATGAGTCAAAGTTCTAAGAGAAGATTAAACCAAAATTCTTTCTTGGAGTCTCCAGTGGAGTAGAGAGAGGGGAAGCTTCCCAGGCCCAAGTTATCAAGCTGTAGGAACCATGGCTGGGAGAAGTTGAGAGTCGGCAAATCCATGGTTTGGCTTATGGTGTTGCAAGATAATGGAAGTCAATCACAGGCTACATGGGCTTGGCAGCCTCACCAGTCTCTGCCCCTTAGGTAGGACAGAGTCCTGGGAAAGTAAACAAGCAGATGCAGAGTCTGGCACCAATTCCCCTAAGACTGGCCCAGCCTGGATACATAAATGAGAAAGGAAAGTAATAATACTTCCTTACAAACAAATAGCACTTTAGTTTATCAAACTTTCTGCATCTCGTATCTTGTAATAATAATCCGGTAAGGTCAGAAGTCAGGAATTATTATTGCTATTTTACAGAGGTGAAAACTGCAACTCAAAGAAGTGACCAAAGACAAGACAAGCACGTCACACTTTCTAACTCAGAGTTTGGCATTATTTCCACTTTCTCAATGATACAGGCTCAGAAGGAGGAAAGAGAAAAGCAAATCACTAGAGAACCCTGGCAAGCTAGAACGTTGACTCTAGGTAGCAAGGAGGACTTGGGGAGATGGCTTTCTAGACCTCAATCTTGATGTAAAAGCTCTTTTGCAACCCGAATAAAGAAAATCTAGTTTTCCAGCAGGTGGCATCATTTTCATTTTGTCTCTAACCTTGAGCTAGAGAACAAAAATTACTTCGTATGTTGTAGTTCAAGAGGAAAGTTGGGAGTTGGAGTAGAGGTGAAGTTGGAAAGTCAGAGGTGAAGCTGGCTTC